TCCGCTGATAAGTTTCAGCAGCAGCTGACTTGGGGACACCTGGGGCAGAGCAGCTGGGGTGCTGCCGGGTTGGTCCAGTAGCGCCGCTCCTCGGCGCTGTGTGACCAACCCGGCAGCCCCCCAGCTGCTCTACCCCAGGCATCCTGATTCAGCCGTTGCTGAATCTGACCAGCAGCTGACTCCAGGAAGCCTGGGACAGAGCAGCTCTACTTCGGGTTTCCTGGAGTCAGCCACTGATCAGTATCAGCAGCGGCTGACTTGGGGACACCTGGGGCAGAGCAGCTGGAGTGCTGCCGGGTTGGTCCCGCAGCACAGCTCCTCGGTGCTACTGAACCAACCCGGCAGTACCCCAGCTGCTCTGCCCCAGGCGTCTCCGATTCAGCCGCTGCTGGTCAGTTTCAGCAGCGGCTGAATCAGTGACATCTGGGGAAGAGCCGGACTATTGGAAGGGGGGGCTATGAGGGGTCTGGAGTGGCATCCCCACCCCCCACCTCATAGCCCCTCCTTCCAATAGTCCGGCATATCTGATAATCTGGCACCCCCTGGGTCCCAAAGGTGCCGGATTATCGGAAGTTTACGGTAGCATTTGACAGCATTGGTCCAATAATGTCTTTCTCTTCTCCCTGCTTCCTTTTACCACACCCAAATGATGTATGTAATGCAGTATCTGAGCCCCTGCATGGAGCAAAAACCGATTTCCAATAGTGAGACTAGTTTGGGACTGAGGCTAGAGAAGACCATAGTACTCTTTCAGTGCGCTAGTCTGCATCTCTCCTTTTTAAAAGGGTTCCCTTTTTGCCACATTCAACCAAAGGGCTTAAGTATACACTTCAGTTCCACAGAAGCCAATGGAATTTGATCCACTGCTGACTAGAGAGAGATGAGCCCATGTGGAAAGTTGAGGAGATGCTTACGTGCTTTGCTGAATGAGGGGCTCAGCTCCCCAGTGAAGGACTTGGCTAACTCTGAGGTCACAACATTGAAGACTAAAACTTAATTGACCACACTTACAATTTTAATACCCTTAACACTTAATTGAAAATGAAGTTGAAAGGTTCAAAGTGACTCTACTTCTGAAAAATTGTAATTGGAGACATGGTATACATCTTAAAACTTCCATCACCACTAATTGGCTCATCTAGGAGGAGCCCAGACTACTCACTGTTTTTACAGATACAGACTAACATGGGTACCCCTCTGAGACTTGTGGTTTGACTAGATTGTATTATCTCACTGATGTGTATATTTTTGTGGCTACATATGCACATGGACTATCTGATAAGGAAAGGCATCTGGGAAATGCGGCCTATCAATTGATAGGTGTGAAAATATGAAGAACAGAGCTTCACTGGCTAGTTCATGAGCTATATAATCTATACCTGGATGACACCGCAATGAATGAGTGATACAAGTCACTTTTAGCCATGTTGGGAGAAACTGAAGGTGGCCAACAACCCGTCATTGATTTCCTCAGTCTATTGTCCTCTGACCTGAACAGCACTTGTTCCACAATGTAATTTGTGCACCCAGATTCATACACCCCTCCATACTGCTTATGAGATGTGGATCTAACTCTGTGTGAAAACAATCTTGCTTCCATTGACTTCGGTGACAAAACACACATTGATTTCAATGAGAGCAGGATTGGAACATACAGTGCTTGGTTTCTGGTTACATGATCTCAATGCCTACCTGTTCAAAAGGGACTGAGTTGCATGCCCCTAAATGCCAGGTTTTAGGAGCAGATTGAAAAACTGATCATTTCAGTCTAGCAGCATGTCAGTAAGTAGCCCGTGCATTTGTGCTTTACTGTGATTTTCGTCCTTGATGAGTTTATTTTTGTTGCTAATCTTTACAGGATAAGAATGGCCTAGCCACCGCATTGTTAATAGTCTATTTGGAAAGTGCTTGCAACCTTTCGGTAAGTAATTGTAGAAAGAAGCAGCCTGGGCTTCTAACTAACAATAGTTAGTGCTGCTATTTTTTAACACCTTCTTCAAAGATACAGAGAAATCACTTTGAATACTCAAATGGTGACTGTGGTGTAAAGAAGTTCAAAACCCAGAAATACCTCAAGGTAAATGCATCTATTTTCTGTACACACCATAAAAAGACAAGCTACATGACACAAGATCTAACCGGTTGGGCTGGCTTCCATTAAAGGAAAACATTTCAGCCATGTCAGGAATTGGGTTTGAATAACCACTGTTCTCTACATTGGTGGGACGGAACTATCCCTGGTATCATTCTACAGGCTCCATTAACAGATGCAGCCCACTGCTATTCTGTGATTTCATTTTCACACTAAGGGAATGAGAAACAAAACTCAACTACAGTCTTAAACTAAACCAAAACCCTCACCATCCTTACACAATACAAGAATCCTGCCATGGGACTAATCCATATCCTCATCTCCACTGCTGTAAGGCTTTCTTCTCTTCCCCAAGTGGAGTAATGGGCATCTTCCTTCTCAGAAATGGTCACTGGCGTCCTGTTTGCTTTTCATAACTCCTCTTCTCGTAGGGTATGTCTACACTGCAGTGTTATTTCGAAATAGCTTATTTTGAAATAACGCATCTAGACACAAAATGCATTTTTGAAATAGCATTTTGCTATTTCAAAATAGCGCATCCTCACAGATAGGATGCTGAATCGCATTTAAGGCAGGCCAGAACCGGTTCTGGCAGGGCATCAGGTCAGGAGTTACCTTGTGTGGCTGCTGCCTGAGGCTATCTGAGACCTGTGCTTAAAGGGACCGCCCCTCTCCCCCAGCCCTGGACAGCTGTATCTAAGGTTTCCCTGCTTGCTTGCCTACCTTGCTGAGGGACAGTAAAGCATTTTTTTCTCTGCATGCTCTGGTTGTCCTCACTCGGGACACCACAGCACTCTGCAGCATGGAGCCGGAGCCGCAAGCCTCAGCATCCCTGGGGGCATGGGGAGAAGGAGGAGGAGCAGTAGCTGGGGAGGCAGCAGGAGGCAGCAAGCTCTGCCCCAGGTTGATGACCCCCTGGGGGCACAGACCTTCCTGTCCCCCCAGAATGCAGTCAATGGCATCAAAATAGGGGCAGGGGTCTGGGTCTGGGTCTGCCCCTGGTTGGGAGCTGCCCCCTGTGGCCCTGGCATACACCTGCCGCAGCTCCTTTATTTTCATGCGACCCTGCTCCTGGGTTCGCATATGGCCTTTGGTGGCCAGGCTGCAGCCATTCGCCTGTAGATGGTTGCGTTCCTCAGTTTAGTGTGGAGATCATGGACGTTGGAGGCATCCCTCCAAACCTGAATTAGGTCCCTGATCTCCGCACTGGACCAGGCAGGCACCCACCTTTTCCGGCCCCTGGTAGACTCTTAGGAGCTGGCAGACTGGTCCTAGGGGGAGCGGTGGAGGGCTGGCTGGCACTGACTGCCTGGTTCATGCTGGAGCCACTGGGTCAGGTGCAGCGACTGCTGGCTCTGGGCTGGCAGGCTTGGAGCTGTCACAGGCACTGTGGCCAGAGTCTACCCCTTTAAGAGCACCAGGAAGGAAGAGGGTTTTCTTGGTTGTGCCCAGAGTGGCCACCAGGGCACCCTGGGAAGGGCTGGAGGCCCCCTATTTTGAAATAGCAATTTCGAAATTAGTGCTATTCTTCATGGAATGAGGTTTACCAATTTCAAAATAAGCTATTTTGATTTAATTTCGAAATAGCAGTTTGGTTGTGTAGACGCTGGTAAAGTTATTTCGAAATAACTTTGCTGTGTAGACATGCCCTTTGGCTGTGTCTACATTGGCACCCCATTCCAGAAAAGGGATGCTAATGAGACCAGTCGGAATTGCAAATGCAGCGGGGGATTTAAATATCCCCCGCGGCATTTGCATGAACATGGCTGCCGCTTTTTTCCGGCTCGGGGCTTTGCCGGAGAAAAGCGCCAGTCTAGACGGGATCTTGCGGAAAATAAGCCCTTTTCCGGAAGATCCCTTATTCCTACTTTCAAAAAA